GCTGCCGCCTGAAATCCGGCTTGCCAGTGGTCAGCTAATGGGTGATGACCTGTCCCTCCTCACTGCAGGAGAGCTGTCACCTTATATCAGTGACCCAGCGCTGAAGCTATTCCAGTGTGCTGTTTGCAACAAATTCACCTCTGACAGCCTGGAAGCCCTAAACGTGCATGTGAGCAGCGAACGTTCGCTCCCCGAAGAGGAGTGGAGGGCCGTAATTGGAGACATCTACCAGTGCAAGCTCTGTAACTACAACACGCAGCTCAAAGCGAACTTCCAGCTCCACTGCAAGACTGACAAACACATGCAGAAATATCAACTGGTGGCTCACATTAAGGAAGGGGGCAAAACTAACGAGTGGAGGCTGAAGTGTATTGCCATTGGCAACCCGGTTCACCTCAAATGTAACGCCTGTGACTACTACACCAACAGCGTGGATAAGTTGCGCTTACACACTACCAACCACAGGCACGAGGCAGCCCTGAAACTGTACAAGGTAAGCCAGTGACAGCAACTGCGGTCCGCACCAAGCAGGCTGGGGCATTAACCGTTTCGGTGCTAATCGAACAAGACTTTGATTAATCAGCAGAGTAAACGTTTGTTGAACGTGCGTATAGGCGAACAAGAGTTACGCAGGCTGGTCAAGGGAGGAGCCTTCCCGATGAGTTGCGTTGATTCACCTGAGGGCCCGTTTAGGCTGCACTTTCTGTGAAGACAGGGACAGCCAGTGTTTTTATAAAAAGTTCCCTCATCATAAATGACTAGAGGGGTTTTACGTCTCTTCTAATCTTATTGGACCTTGTCCGTTACATTTTGGTCAGAAGCTTGACAGAGGTTAGGGAAAATGATGATTTTTCCATACCGTCCATAGGGAAGGAGATCACTTTCTGGCATACGTATCTGTTTGCAACCGTAATCTGTCACAGCCAAGTTATTTTACGTCCGTATTTTCAGCAAGCACATGCAATATGCCACATTATTACCAAAGACAGTCAAAAGTAAGCACTGTCATCCTTTTGTCTGCCCTTCTTTTCCAAGCCAGTAATGATTTTTCACAAACATGAAAGGGTGTGGTGTAGATAAATATGTTAGTAGAATGGCAACTGTATTTTTATCTTTACTGGAAAAAACTATGTGGATATAATGAATATGTGGGAGTGATGAATACCATTTATTACACAACTTGTCATGACTTTTTCCAAACCCTAATTACGGGGTAACTTATTTTCTGCAGTGTGTTTACTGGATTGGCTTGATTGTCTTGGTTCATGTACAAAATATAACACATTCATTTCCAAGATGAATAACTTTGTAACTTATTAAAAAGTTCTTTTGTCTAGGGGATATAAAAATTCAGGAAATATTGCAAACCATTAGTCACTGTAACAAGCTCTAAATATGATTAGAAAATCCATTTTGCAAGTGTTATCTATTGATTTATACTAGAAATCTGTGATAACGAAACTATCAGGAGTCATCTGCTGATTACAGCAACTATGCTGGTTTTCTAATCATGTCGAAAATGTGTATGCATGGTACAAATACAGAAAAGCCTCAGCAGACCTCTAGCTTAAGCAAGAAGTAACATTTTGCTGGTGTTCAACCATGTTCGAATGGTTATTCTGAGCTAAGACAGGGTGCACAGGCAGTAAGTAACATGGATTTTATTTTATAACCTGGAGTTGTAACCTTGGTAGTTCTGCTATGGACAAAAATGGCAGGAACATGAGATCGGCTCTATTATATTGTCCCACAGCGCTGGCTGCTCTGCTACATTAATCATGTACTTTCTTTAAATTGCATTTTCCCTTAACTCTAGGGGGGTGGGCTTTTTGTGCTTGTTTGTTGGGGTTTTTTTAAGATCCAAAGTCCTGTTTTGCCAAGTGCCAAAAGAGTTGAGAGTCTGGCGACACAGTTAGCCCACCTCAGCAGCAAAACTGCCTTCAGAATTTCCTGCTCCCTGTCGTTCGTGAAGCGGTTCCTGGTTCCCTCCAGTTACGCTGATTGTGGAGCCACACTCTTAAGTTGGGTTTTTTAAGTGATCTAAGTTAAAGATAGTTGGTTCCCATCTCTTTTTGGGGTCTTAACCCGGATTATCTCAATGATTTGTTTTATGTTGCCACCACTCAGAGAGATGCTGCTGCAAACCGTGTCACGGATAGAAATGATAGGATGGAAGATGGGAAGGCAGAGGGGAGAGGGCTTTTCTCAGCTGGCTTCACTGCCAAAGCTTCAGCGGCTGTCGAAAATAAGATGCCAGCTGCTTATTTTTTAAATAAAGCTGTAGGCACAGCTATGGAGTTGCAAGGTACAAACCATCTACTCAAAACAGCGCTGTCTCTTCACTCACTCAACCTGATCCCTACAGAAGCCTTTGTCAACTATCTTTGGGTTTGCAACACGTCCTACAGAACGTTTGATTTAGCGTACTAAGGGAGCAAGTCTCAGCTCTTAGCCCCCATCAGTAAAACCATCCCACCGTTGAACCCACCTCTTTGCCAGATCCTGGTTTGTTAGATCAAGCAATTGAGCAGCGCCTATGTGGTGCAGCTGTCGTACGCAGCAAATGACCATCGCTAACCGTTTAAGTTCAGTCTCTGAACCAGTTAAGGTGAAAGACATCCTGGTGGAGAAGGAATGCATAAGCTTTTAGACACCCTCTAAGCTTCACGTCCTCCAGAAGGACAACTGAAAGTGTGCTCCTGGTATCCATAGGGTTGCAAGTCTCCTGATACGTGTATTTTTAAAGACTTGTCCCTAGGATTGCTAGTGAGAATCTCAGCTTTTTAGAAAATTTCTGTCCCTCATGACTTCTTACCTAAGCTTGGAAATTTGAACCCCGCTAGGCTTAACAACTCTCAGAAAGCAGATAGCATAGACACTTGCACGGACTATTTTTGTATAATCTCATTTTAAGGCTAATTTGAAGGAGAGGAATGACTTATTTAAAATATCAGTTAGGGTATTAGTAGGATTATTTTTTAAGATTTGGGGTTGGCAGTACTGCAAGGTGTCCCAAAGAACCAAAATGTTCTAGGTGTGTGTGCTTTATAACAGAATGTAATGCCTCTCTGCGTCACCCGGAAAACCTTACTTTTAATTGTGGGTGTACATTCAGGCCTCAAGGTGGAAATAAATGAGATTTTGAAAGTCTGTAAAGTTATCTGCTAGCAGACTTGATAGTTTTGTCAGGTCTCGGTGAAGCTGTTGACACCAAGAGAGTTGTAAACTTTTTTTCTCTTGATACATCAGATAAACTTTTAGAGCACCTAAGGAAAAAAAGAACATTAATTTGTATGAATAATAGATATATGCCTTGGGAGCGATATCGAATATTCATGAATTGTGTTTATATTCGAGCAGCTCCTCTAACTCTTTTAAAATTAAGGTGCTGTGAATATGGTTTGGCAATAAAAACTTTAATACTAAAACCATCTGAAAGCACAGAAAAAGAATCTGTGACTTTGTTCCTTTGCTTTGTCAAGTACCTCAAAGTTTCTTCTTTAGTCATTTATATTTATTTAAATGTTATTGTTTTGTGAATTTTCTTTTTATAAATGTTGCCGTAACAGCTTGATTTCTCTTCCTGTGCTTAACTATTGATGGAATAAAAGGATGTCTTTTCATAACTGTAGCTTTTCAAGCGACTATGAACATCAGAGCTTCTCTTCTGAAGCTGTATAATTTTAGGCGGTTCTGAAATGTCACTTTTAGAGTTAGATTCTAAATGTGGCAAAGTGAAACCTTTAGCTGTTTTCGAAGTTATTTAAAAAAAGAAGTGGCCTGATTGCTCCTTAACAGAAGTGCAGTATTCAAATGGTGTTGGAAATGCAGCTGCTAGGAACCAGAACAAAGACAACCTTACCCTGTGTGAACTCAACTTGGCCTAAATGAATTTCCCAAAGACTTATATTTGGAATTGTGGAGCTCGATATTAGCAAATTAAACCGCAGAAGAGTAACAAATCCTTCGCGGCACCCATCAAGAAGCATTCAGTGACTCCCCGAGTAAACAGAGAAAGCCTCTTTAGCAACAGAGTGCATTTCCATTCTGCAGGAGGAAGTGTTCAACTTCGGCAGATTTGGGAAGCTGAGGCAGGACAGTGATCCTTCTCCGGGGATATAAAGTACATATAGCTGGAACTGCTCTTAAGGAAGCCATTTTGTAGCTTAGTCAAATAGCTTTTGATTCAGGGAACCGCCTATATCATGTCCTGTGCTCACAAAATCGTTCCCAAATACTTTTAATAAATAAATATATGCAGGGTAGCCTTTTTGCAAAGTAAACGGGAGTGGCCGAAAAGAAGTTTTAGTTAACCAAGTAACTGAATGACACGACCAGTTTCTAATAGCAAATAAATATTTGAAGCCAGTCTATCACAAAATATTATTCAGTTAGCTGAGAACAGCTTTAACAGACATCACTTTGATATGGGATATTTACTGCGGTTTGCATCATATATGCAACTATTTAGGAGCTCCGGGAAAGCGACAGGCAGCAGTTAGCAAACTAATACTCAGCTGTGTGAAAACTACCTTGGTTTTCCCTTTATTGACAAAATATCGATCCATAACACTATTAATGCTATGATTGTCAGTTCAATTTGGATAGATTGCTTTACCTCTCGTGTTCACAAACGGCAAAGACATTACCCAAAAGGAGCGACCTGATTTCAGTTTAAGAAGGTTAAAGGTTAAAGGTTAGCTCAAAAGCATCATCTGCCTAGCTGCTTAACTTTAAACTGATCAATTTAATGAAAATCTGTTTTGCAGATGGTGTTTTAATGTCTTTGGCAGGATTTAGGCAGCTTTAACATTAGACGTATGCTAGTAAAAATTATTTCTTTATTTGACCAGAACAACACCTTTTCTTTTATGTTTTAAGGTAAAAGGCATGTGGGATATGGTATTTTGGCAAAGGACCCAGAAGCAGAAAGTGTTGATGATCTTTCCATATGGGCTCAAAAACAGAATACCCTTATGTCTATTGCTAACGATGACTGAAGAAACAAACAAAGCTGTATTCATTTTTTACCATAATGTTTTACTTTGAACCCATAAAAAAGCATTTCAGTCAGAACTGTCCTTGAAAAAGGCTCGTCTTCTCTGCCTGGGGTGGAATGCAACAGCATTAACGTCTTTAACCTGGCAGAGCACACCGATTGTCTCTTGCAGACCTTGTATTTGTAGATCAGCAGTATTCTTTTTCTTACTCACAAACCCGGTGGTAATTGTGTTACTTAGCTGTGGGTACCATAAATAATAAGGCAAATTAGTCAATCCAAATGGTAAGTTTTATCTGACAGAGGTTATCTGCATAAACAAAGAATTAGATCCTCAGGAGTGCAAAGCAGAGCTTTGTGTTTATGTCTTCTGAGAATCTGGCCTTCACAGTTTTTGCCAAGATAATTAAGTTTCAGCACAAGCACGTCTTTCTATTTTCAGATGTGTGCAATTCAATAGGAATTTCTTGGGCTGCTAATGCAATACTATTATATGTTAGCTTTGTAATTAGCTAGGACTCTATCCCTTTGCTGAAACGCATTGTAATATTACACACAAAAGCGTAGCTTGCATGTAGCAGTCATGAAAGTGGTGCCCTTTGTTTCATATTGACCTTCCAACTTATTTAAAAAAGTTTACAACGAGCCTTTGTTTTGTCCACAAATGATCATAAACAGCTTTCTAAAGAGCCCAATAAAATGAGATAATCTCAAATGTATAACATCCCATATTGAAAGGGTGTAAGAACAAACGGGGCTTTTACTATATTTTATAGGATGGATTTATAGTCTGTCCTTGGGTCACTTAGGGCCAAGAATTTTCACGGTCAGCTGCTTGGTCCTGCCAGCTAGCATCCTCTGCAGGAAATGCAAATACTGCGCAGCACCTGCTCTTCAGCTGGGGTTATGCACCCCTTTTTTTTAAAGCGAGGTGTCCACTTCTCCGCTGGTTCAAAGTCAAAAGCTTAATTAGACCAGCTTTTTTCCTGCATCTGTCATCAGTGAAGCAGAATAGTCTGTCTGGATTCCACAATGCTGTTTGCATATTTGGATTTTAAATCAGCCAGGGATATTGAATGCTTTGCTCATCTTTATCACGTGCAGGAGGCACAAGTGGGATTTAGTCCTTAGGTAACTTTTAGTGTAACAGTTCCCCAAGGAACACTGCTTGGGTTTTTCTCATTATCCTTGTTCTGGATGAAAGCATCGTTGTTAGGAATTAACAACTGAGGTGGGGGGTGTGAAGTATATGCATAGAGGGACGAATGGACTAACAGCCCCAATCACTTTGTTTGCTTTCCTCTCTTTGGCATGAAACGTTGATACTTGATCGGTCCGGAATGAACAGAAAGTCACATTCTTTTCATTTCAATTGTCCTGCACTAACTTTTTAATTTAAAATCAAATATCCTAGATATGTGCCAGTCCAATTATTGAACTGTCATTGTCCCAGTATGATGGTAAAAGAGGTCAGGAGATTGTGCAGCATTGATTTGCATAAAAATCATTGTGGAAAGGAAATTGGAATATGTCTGCACATCTGAGGAGCCAAAACATGTTTTGCTTAAGCTTATTCTTGTTGTTTGTTTAGGTGAAGAAAGCTGTTTTCAGTGATAAACAAAAGTTATTCTAGTTTGTTGCTGAACACAAACCTCACGCTAGAGGATATTTCAATTTTTATAGTACTTTGAGGCTTATGTTCATTTAAGGTTTTAAATGTTTTATGAAATTTAATTTCCACTGCAAGTTTTAGATACTGTAATTCAGATTATGCTGTTGTGCTTACACATAGAGAAACGAATGTTCAAAGAGCACGTTGTGTAGCCAACTATACATAGCTATACATAACATATATGCCTACTGTATGTACATATACACTGTAGATAAGTACATTTATTTAAAAAAAACCCAAACAAGTTGTAGGCTAGCATAATAGTAATTTCAAACCTATTTTTTTAAAAAATTTTGAATTAAAAATATAATACTAGAGAAATAATTTGAGGTATATTTAATTTGATATTCAGATGTTGTCTGGTTCTCAGATAGTCCTACGTAGTGGTCCTCATGAAAAATCGCATGCATGGTATGCAGCTTACGGCACAGCGCTGAAGCAGATACGTACTCTGAAGTCATGGTTTAGGGAATTCCCATGTTCTTCCATTGAAACGCTGTCCAGGATCCCAGTCTGCGTGCTGTCCTGGGCGAGGATGGCTAAGGCTACTCTTCGCAAGGAGGCCATATCAGACTCTTTGGACAGGACTTGCCATGCCCAACCTGCCCAGTGGAGCCCGAGCTCATAGCTCCTCTCGCAGAGCAGAAAGAGTGAGCAAGGAGGAGAGCAAAAGCAGCATAAAGAGGATCAGCCTCATCTATTCAGTCTGCTCAACACACAAAATGGCTGTACAACAGCTGGGTTTTGTGCTGGGAGTTCTTTCATTCCGACATTAAGAGAAATATGTAATTATTTCTGACTGAGAGTCAAAGTAGAGATGCAGTGTATGTGAGAATATTATGTCAATGTGGGTGCATGTGTACGTGTGCGTAAATAGATTGCAGCTATGGATTTAGCAGCCACTCCTTCCCAGCCTTGAAACATAGATTTTCTTGTTGCCTTAGAAGACTTTGGCTGCTCTTATGCAACTCACTACAGGTGTCTTCTCCAAAATTGTAGTTGCAGTTTACCAGACTCTTCCAGGTGGGATTTTTCTCCACCGTTTCTTCCATGTATTTCAGAATGAGCACTTAAAAAAAAAAAAAAAAAAAGACTGAGACATGACAGGAAAGTTGTATTTTGACATGCATATGTGTGCTTTAGCTTTACTATTGCTTTTGCTAAATGATTTAGGAGAAACTTTCCCTTGGTCTATGCATTTGTCAGTCCATCCAGACAAAATGCCAGAATTAGGAAATTATGGGAGGGCTGATGGGAATAAAACCATAGAGACTCCATGTGTACAGGACTGAACTTCGAGCTGTTTGATACACAGCTCTTAAGACCGTATGGGCTCTCTATGTGTCTGTCTTGCTAGACAGACAAATTCATTTTCTGCATGTATTTTTTTTTTTCCTTTGGGGTACCACTGGAGCAATGCTCCAGTCAGATTTTGTAAGGAAGGACTGTGAAGAGGCTGGTGTGAAATGCTGAGTAATACCAATTCTGTTGGTTTTAGCAAGAATTGGGCACGATACAGGAGACATGTTTCATTGGATAAACTTCCACGTGTATATGGGCAAAATACAATACAGTAGAGCAGGAAATAGGTAGGAAAGACATTAAATGTGGGTAGGGTTTTTATGTTAATAAAACATAAATTACAAGTGCTAGTTTGTGATATTTTTTGATCCCGGTGGTCTCTCTGTTAGGCTGTGGTACTTAATACAGGCAGATAGTGCAGAACAATGATCGTACATCCTCGTGCTGATATATAAAGAAAGCGAAGCTTTGCTGAGGACCGCAAGACCTTCGCTTTGTGGACAGCCGTGAAGGAGGATGTCATGGAAATGACCCCCTTGGTCTGCAGCAGAAGGTGCCAGCCCTGCAGTTCTGCAGCAGACAGATACACGGAGTATTGTACTCCTTAGCCTCAGGGGAAACTCTGTGTGCTGCTCTCCCTCTGGGAGGAAAGGCATTAAGATAATCTTTAGCTTTTAAAGGCAAGGGGCACTGAAAGAAACAAAAAATGAGCAAAGGTAGTGCTTGAATGATGAAGTGTGCAGATTCCCATGCCTTGGGCATCCTACTGTACTAGCAGTGACAAAATCAGAAAAAAAAAATGGTTTCATCATATACGAAGAGTATGATCAATACTCCTTGCTTATATGCATGAATAGGAAACCACATATTGCTAATAGGAGCCATGAATGGTAATATACTAATCTTATTCCAAGAGTGGATATTTGACCACATGAGTCGCCTAACAAACAATGTCATTTTTCTATTTGAAACTGTTATCCTAGTGTGTTAATCAAACCATGCTGTTAACATGATTCACATGTCTGAACTACATGACTATATAACTACTGATTTATTGCTGGATGGTGTGCAGGTGACCTAGTATATAGCGATAGTATTCAGGAGTCCGCCCAAAGAAGAGTTTTTGTTAGTAATCTCTGTTCTCCCTTGTAAACTCTCCCAAAGAAGAAGAACATACGCCACTTCCTTGCACTGCTCCTGGAGAGAAGAACCGTAGAGCCACCTCTACCTATAAAGACAGTTCAGAATTTGCTGTTCGGGGATAGTTTGTGCCCAAACTTTTTATAGAAAAATAGGTTACCCTTATTCAGAGAAAGTTCAAGATCAATCCTGTTGTGATGACTCTATTTAAAACAAAGGCTTCCAGTGGAAACTCTACTTACCAGAAATTTAGCAGGCGCGTCCAAGGGTCTATATAATCTTGTTCTAAAGTCGTGTGACAAGTATGGAATTTTTCCAACTTGTAATTGGGCTTATAGCAGTCCTTGGCTGGGGGAGTGGGGGAGGTCAGTTGTCTCCAAACTGCTTTATTAAGAAAGAAGAAGTTTTCCATGGGAAATCCTGAAAAGTTGCAGCTGGCTCAAGTATCGTACCAGGTATGGCTGATGTTATCCTTATGCTATATTCAAAACCCTGGGTCCTAATGAGAAAACAGAAAGAAGGGCATTTCTTCTTATTCATGGGATCATAGAATCAGAATATCTAGAGTTGGAAGGGACCCATAAGGACCATCGAGTCCAACTCCCTGCTCCTCACAGGACTACCCAAAACTGGACCATATGACATAACCTTGAGCTCTGACAGGCTTGGTGGTGTGACCACTTCCCTGGGGAGCCTGTTCCAGGGACCAACCACCCTCTCAGTGAAGAACCTTTTCCTAATGTCCAGTCTGAACTCCCCTTGACACAGCTTCATGCTGTTCAAACAACAATGTTCCTATTTTCTGTGTAACCTAGACAAAAACTTGCTCTCTGGGAAACAGATTGAGGCAAAAATACTGAAGTTTTCTAATTGAATAAACACTTTGT